TTTTTTTTTTTTTTTTTTTTTTTTTTTTTTTTTTTTAATAAGAAAAACATTATTTTATGAGGAAGAAGAAAGAGAGGGGGGGGGGGGGGGGGGGGGGGGGGGGGGGGGGGGGGGGGGGGGGGGGGGGGGGAGGCAAATGGGCAAGGTCACCTTGCTTGCACGGATTGAGAAATCTTGACTTTGGATAGGGAAGAAGATCAACGGCCAATATTAGCTCTTTATTTCTTCTTTCTTTCTTGAAGTTTCTTTTTTCCTTTTTTTGTTCCGAATCCAAAGATATGTTCCATGATGACATGGCAGAAATCCAGTTAAAATATATGAGAGAAAATAAATATAGCTGTCCCCTGACGAGGAGAAGACAACTTAAAAAAAAGAAAAAGAAAAAAGAAAAAAAAAAAACTCTTAATCCGTGCAAGTAGTATACTTCTTTTTTTTTTTTTTTTTTTTGGTTGCAGGGTGGCGCAGATGGGGGAATATAAGCACTCTGGAGCATGTACCTATACTACTTCTGTCTGTCTGCTTTGTTTTTTTTTGGCAGTGGCCATGCTAATCTTCTTTCTCCATATCGTGCCATTTTTCTACCGGCATAAAGAAAAAGAAAAAGAAAAAAAAAAAAAACATTTTTTTTTCTTTATGCCGCATTCAAATAAACGGGGCACGGAAACACAATGCCTCGCCGGAAAAGGAAAAAAAAAAAAACTGTGTGTGTAAAATAGTAAAACAAACGTAACGAAAATTTGTAATTTTCTGATCCGTCAAAAAAGAAAAAAAAAAAAAAAAAAAAGTCATGTACCTCTGGACACAGATAGAATCATCAAACCCTTCCTATTAGATTTCACATACGATGCACACGCTCGCATTGTAGTTTTGCCTGTGCATGTACCCGTAATTGCAGGCAGGTGAATTGATGCTTCTACCCCCAAGACTAGGACATAACTCAGCTGAGCGGCGTTCTTAATATTCCCAAACTCCCCATCTCCCAATTTTTCTCTCTCCGAGCAAAAGGAGGCGAACACACACACACACACACACACACACACACACACACACACACACACACGTGCACACACACACACACCACACACGTGCACACACACACACACACGCACACAAGCACACACACAGGTACAGACAGAGAGAGAGAGAGAGGAGGCGAAGACACACACACACACACGCACACACACGCACACACACGCACACACACGCACACACACGCACACACACGTACAGACACAGAGAGAGAGAGAGAGAGAGAGAGAGAGAGAGAGAGAGAGAGAGAGAGAGAGAGAGAGAGAGAAGATGCATGGGTGAAATATAGAGTGGACATACTGCGGCGAGCTGAGGGCTTGAAAAGAGACAAATGACAGCCGAGAGCACACTCGCACTCGGACTTTTCAGACTGAGCTCTGGACTTACTTCTGATCAGATACATCAGGCGCAGCTGTATTTCTGGTCAGGTACATCCAAGGAAAGCCCTTCTAGTGTGAGGATACCCTGAGTTTGCTACTTCACTCCCGGTTGCTTCATACGTACCCATCAGGGCCATCACATTGATTTGATTTAAGACATTATTATTCATGTACTGTATTAAATATTACAGGGATAAACCCAAAGAGCAATAAAACTTAAGCAGGTTTTTATTTCCTTTTTCCCTTTTTGTTGCTCCCATGGACCACGGATGACGTCAACCCATCATTGCGTGGAATATCTGTGTGTACCCCTACCGGTAGCCAACTGCAACTGGTGGAAATCAACAAGAAAAGGACACGTGTCATCCGATGCTTTGTCGGGACTGAGGACAAGGTGGGCTTGCTGGGAATCGTTGACCTCCTCAACGCATTACCTGGACAACGTGAAGACGACACGTGTCCCGGCATGCGGGCGACCTCGTCGATTTTTTTCAAATTTTTTTTTTGTTGAAGACCCATTCTCGCTCTGCTAAAGGGAGTGATCGTGTAGCCAGTGAACCAACAAAAACAAAAATGGAAAAAAATGAAGTTCCCAGAGCAAATTGGTGCAATTGAGCAAAGCAGAGGGCACGTTTCGGTCGGGACTGAGGACACGCTGGACTTGCTGGGAACTGTTGGACACATCGGACCCACCTCGGGACGGCTGGGAGTAGCCAACACTACCGACCACCGATAAGGGGTCTGAGTGTCCAAGTCGGACCCACAGCAAGGCAGTACACAGACTGCTCCCCGAGAGACGCAGAAGGGCCAAAATCAGTACAGTAATAAGGGGCTCGTTCCACACCACTTGAGTTTCAAGCGTGCACCGTTCCACCGCTCCCGTTTTCACATTTTCAGTTTGGGCTGGCCCTTGAAACTCAAGGAAGGGCGGTCAGGGGCAAAACTGTCCGCCCTTGAGGGGCAAAACTGACCCCCCTTGAAACTCAAGGGAGGGCGGTCAGGGGCAAAAACTGACTGCCCTTGAAACTCAAGGAAGGGCAGTCAGGGGCAAAAGTGACCGCCCTTGACCACCCTCGAACTCAAGGAAGCTCCGAGAGGTGACTTGAGTTTCACGGGACCACAGAGGCCCGCCACCCAAACTGACAGGGGCTGGCCACTCAGAGAAATACCAGGGCCTATTTTGCTGGACTGGATATCCATCCAGGCAAAATGGGTCGGGCAATGCATGTGACCCGGCGGCCAAATCCAGTCGGCCTCCCAAAATGAGGGAATTATGGGCCTATGATTAGTATCACAGCCCAATTTTAACTTCTTTTTTGTCTGGCGAAGAATGGAAAAACAGGGAGTCGAAAGCCAACCCCATTTTCTGTTCTCACGACCATAGACCTACTATTATGTCAAATACCATTCTAATATATTTTAATTTTGGAGCTACCTTTGTTGTGATGCCCAACCTCACGCCCAGCGCGACTTCCTGATCAGAGTGGGATGGGGACCCGGAAGTGCAAAAAGGGGTGTGCCAAGGATTTGAGGAAAGTGGGGGTGGAGTCCCAGGTCGGAACTGAGATCTCCTGTGGCAAGTTCCAGGGGTACAGGTGCAAAAGGGGGTATACTCAGAGGGGAGGTAGCTGATGTCGCGCGGCATAAGGCAGATGGCCTGCGCAGTGTATCTCAGGCTAAAAATCCGGGGCACTTTCTTGCTATCGCCGTACCGACAGATTTCACCATCGCCTCCGATTTCGTATTCAGGGTCGGTCGCGCGGTTCGGCCGGTTGTCGGCGCCGCTCGTAGCAGGCCTCGGATTCCGCCGAGGCGGGCCGTACGCGGAGGCTGTGCAATCGCTGTTCAGCTTCGGTTCGGGCCTGTCAGGTAGTTTCCGAAGCTCGGTGCGCCCAGTACCGACAACCCTCGCACGGCAGGTTGGGCCAGTAGCGAGCTATGAAATTCCACGGTACCACTGTGACTTGGTGATATGGGAGGAGGAGATGGAAGGGAGGGAAGCTGGTAGTAATAACGACGAAGCCGGGGGATATGAAATATTGCGTGTTATAAGTTTCCACGTAGTCAGGGCACCTGGGGTCGCTAGTTATGGCACAGTGAAAATCCCTGGCGCATAATCGATCGTTTTCTGTTAGGCAAGGGAATTCTGGATTTCTTAAATTTCCCCGCCGTCTGAGTTGTTCGCCTTTCCAATACTCAATCAGGCCTGATCGCATAGCTCATGCAGGCGAACACTGGTAAGAGACAACACAGGCATCGTTTAACAGATCGAAAAAATCGCTAAAAAAAAAACATACATTCATTCCATGCATACATACCGAGCCAAACAACAAGGAAAACCTGAGACAATATACAAGAGAGGTTCAAAAGAGAAGGGTCGTGATAAAGAGATCGACCATATCAGAATCCAAAATTATATAGATGAACAGAGGAAAATGAAAGGAACAACAAAAAGAAGCCTTATCCCACACCCACTCCACTGCTCTCTCTCTCTCTCTCTCTCTCTCTCTCTCTCTCTCTCTCTCTCTCTCTCTCTCCTGTGGCGGGCAGTCTGTCGCCTCGCATCAACACCCACGATACCGGCAGTCCGTCGCCGCGTATCCACACAGAGTTGTCACCCCGCTTGGTTCAAGCATGCAAGCTAGGTTCGCCCGTGCGCCACAGTCCGTCGCGACCCCGCACATCAACCCCACAAACCCGACACCAGCTCGTCGGATCGCCAAACTCTCACACTCACTCACCTTCCAAACTTGCTTGTTAGCCGACCCTCACTGATCGCGCTAACCTCGAAATTCTTAGAGAGCAAACTAATCGCGCTTGCGAAATTTATAGCATGCATGCTTGCGCAAAAGGTACAGAATTAAGCCCAAATGGACAAAAAGAGAAGAGAGGAAGTGTCTACATCTGCATGGGCAGG